TTTGTCTGTAGGGGCCACCGTAAATATACTTTTATTTATTCACTCCACATAAAATGTAATAAATAAATCATATAATACAAAAACCAACTATTCACAGTTCAACTTTTAACTATTTAAATTTTCAGCTTTTTCCTTTTAAACAAATTTAAAGTGAAACAACACAAAACACTGCAAACAACAACACAACTAAATATAAATTAAAATATGAAAACAAAAAGAAGATGCATATTCTCTGTCATATGGGCCTGCATGTATAAACTTTCTGAATCCTTTATTATCTGCAACTGAAAACATCACTAGCAGTCGCCTCATTGTTCTGACACACACAACAAAAATATTGACTACACTACACACTAACTACACAAGATTTGCGCCGTACGTCATAAATCTCTCACATCTCAAAACACGCTGTCACTCCTAAAACGTCCCCCTTCCTAAACAACTAGATGACATGTTGCCATATCATTTTTGATTGGTCGATATGGTACATTTTTCGACCAATAGGAAAGGGTGGGCTTTTTTGTGTTGTTTTTGCTCACAGGCTTTTGAGCGTTTTCCTTATAAAACGCCATTTTTACCGTTTCTTCCCGCAGTAAATATAAACAACGACAGTATTCAGGAAGAAAACCAAACATTGCAGATATTTTTATCATAAGTCGACATCACTTAACGACCGGATACCCACGTACGTTTTCTTCTTCTACCCTGTAGCTCACATCTTAGTGTCCACACAGATAGTGCCACCTTGTGGTCTGGCATGGAACTGTATTAACTTTACAGCACAGCAACAGCTTCTGATCATTACAGTTATCTCAGCTAAAGTTTGAATTGCAGGAAGAAGAAGCTGGAAATGAACCAAAGGAATTTATCTCTTCCCACTGGGGACCCTCAACATTCTTTCCTTGCTGATGTGAAGATCCTATCTGGACCATTTTTAACTCTCAGCGGTGCCTCAGTGTTTTTTTGCTTTCAGGAACTGAAGGAGCATTTAGACCTCCAAATACTTAACAGCTTTAGGTGAAAACAAGGAACTACTCTAAAACTACAACTCCTGAATTTAAGCTCATTAGAGCAAAATTCATTTGTAAAACTAGTCATTGGGTTTTATCTGTGAGCAGAAACCGCTCACTGGCATATTTTCAGTGTTGATCTGTGAGACAGGTCAGTCCACGGGTGTTACTATATAAATGTTTTGTTAATGTTTTGAGGAAAGAAGTTAAATTGTATAGAAGTCTTTGAAAAAAAGGACTCAGTAAAGACTTTCCTGAGTTTACGGTTCCAGTGACTTGTTTATGGCTCTTATTGACTCTAATGGGGCGATCAGAGCACGCTCAGTGGGTCATGAGCTGTCAAGAGAAAAGTTGTTAGAGAATAAGAGAAAAGTTAATATGGCGGTGATGAAGACATTTTGAGGTCTCATAAATAGGACTCCACAAGCCAATCAGTGATGTTACAGTGGGTATGTCCATCTTTGTATACAGTCAGTGTGCTGGTGAAAGCAGTATGTGTGAGATCACATCAGGTCCAAACATCCTCTCAGGATGCCCCAGGTTCCATTTATGTTCATAAAACTTCAGTGTTTTTGTTCAATCAGTAATAAATATTCCTGCATGACTTTTTTTTAATAACTGTTTATAAATCCCGTCTTAAATATTTACCATTTTAGACAAAGAGTCTGCAGGTTCAGACGTCCCCAGCAGTTAAGGTTGGAGTGTGACAGATGACGACAGATAAGTGGAGGAGTCCCGGCTCCTGTCAGTCTGAGGATACAGATGTTAGCAAGAACCAGAAACCTAAAATTACAGCTTA